TGCCATCCTTCAAAATATTGCCTTGGAATCTTTCACATCCACCAAGTGCGCAGATGAAACCAGAATTTAACATATCAAGTAAAATGGGCAGATAGTGGCATAGTGGTACTGTCACTGCACTAGCAATCTAGATGCTCAGGTGACATGCACATAAATGTCATGGCGCCAGCTGGTGTAATTAGAATTCAATTGATTAATCAGGGACATAAAGTTAACCTCAATAATAGTGACCATACCAGATTCATGTAAAAGTCCGTCTGGTTCACCAAAGGCCTTTAGGAATAGAAATCTGCCATCCTTGCCCAGTCTGGCCGATATGAAATTCCAGGCCCCAGAGCAACTTGGTTCACTTTTAACTATGTTCTAGAAATGGCCTAGCAGGCCACATAGTTGAAGAGCAATAAATGCTGGCCTTGCTAGGAACACCCACATCCCATGAAGTCAAAAATCACACAACACCAGGTTATAATTCAACAGTTTATTTGAGAAAACAAGCTTTCGGAGTCTCACTCCATCTTCAGGTGTTAAAAAAGGTTGAAGGAATCAAATCGAAGCCATCTGCACCATAATAAACCATGATAAAATTATTTTATGAACAATCGTCACCAACAAAGCAGAATTGGCAGGTGTTAAAGTGACAATTAAACAGAATTAAAATTTCAGATCAAATTATAATGACATCCAGAGGCTAGCCACAACTGAAAACAAGGGCAAGAGCAGTTGTGCCGACCGTAGACAGATTTTTGGACAGTGACAATGCCTATATTAAATGAACTCTAATCCAAAAAATTCCTAAAAACTGAATTTTATATTTTTATCAGTAAATCAAAGCAAAGATGAATGTTTCATGGTAAAATGTGAAAAAACGTTACTGGTGTTGTATATAGTAAGTTGGTTGATAAGCTGTTTATAATGTCACATTACCACAGTAATTTTTTTTTAATCTCTTAGGAGGTGGTGTTACAAGTACAAAGTTTAATATGATAACTGTGCTTTGGACCCCTTCCTGAATCCAAGGTACAATGGAAGAATGAAGAGTCATACAATCTGTGAGTATGATCAACCATAAACCTTGTGCAGACTGGTTATCATGGGGACAGGGAAGTCCAGGTCAGAGGCTATTGAAATGCACATGCCATAGTTCATATCTGAAAGCAGTGGTAAGAGGATTGACTGAACAGACTTTTTGCTTTTAAGACAGGGAGAGAGGGACAGAGAGAGATCAAACAAAGACAAAAGGTCACTGCTGGTCTATTCAGCAGAGTGGAAAAGACTAGAACACCCGAATGAGTCATCAGGGACTGAACAAGAAATGTTCTACATGTTAAGAAAAACAGGTATAGCTAGAACCCATCTGGTTACCCACAGAAACAGTTCTGATGTGGAGACAGAGAACGGAGTTAAATGAAAGGTTGTTCAATATGAGAACAGGTTTGGCCAGCAGAGGTTGGTGGTGATGGATGCAGACTAATTGGGCCTCCATTTAATGAACTGTTTCCAATTCACTGAGACTCCTGCTGCCAACTGTAAACAAGTCTGGTACAGGTGTGCATGTGCATCTTGACCCATAGTGAAGCTGCTGGCACATGTACAACTGCTCCTGATACCTTTCAATCTATCAAAGGCCATGTTCTTTCACACTGTATTGAAACATGCAGTGTAAGCATCTCCCATGGGAATTCAAACAAGAAAATGCAATATTTATGTATGTGCATGCTGCCAGCAATTCCATCAAGTGGCATTATAAACTGTAATATCTCAATGCAGTGCCTCAACACGCAGAAAAACCTTATGTTGACAACAATTCACCTCAACACTGAATCTGTGATGGGATTCTAGTTTCAATGAGCTTTCATGTGAGGGCTGCTGCCTTAGGCTAGACAGTGTAAAAGCTTTGTGCAGGTAGGTTGCCTAGTGTCTGTAGAAGCTAACTGGTGGATAATAACTCTTATTGCTACGGCCATTGTTTCAAGCGTCAGTAATTTCCTTAAATATTTTCTTTACAATACTTTCCCATTGATTTTTTTTGAAACCAAAACTTGTCTTTAATTCTCCACAGGGGAAGTGAAGAATCATGTTTACTGATATTTCCTGAATATAAATCTTCATTTACTGAATTGTCAGGAGCATGTTTTACAGAGGATAATGTTGTTAAATGACAGGTAAACTAAATGTAAAAACTTGCACTGTGAAAGGACTACACAGAACTCCAACTCCCAACCACCCCGTCAAGTGCTTTAACTGAACCCAGCCTTTCTAATTCACCTGAAACATTAATTTTCTCCAGGGATGCTGCCAAATTTGAACAATTTCAATGTTTTAGTTGTTTTTAAATCCATGACTGTAAGCTCGGTTTTCAGATTCAGATCAGAAAAAGCCATGCTTGATTCAACAGGTCAATTTAATCTAATGAAAATTACTAATACTCACCATATCTGTAACTTGATTTTCTTCCCATCTAGCTCTACTGTTCGTATTTTGAAATCAATTCCTGCAAAAGAAAGTGTCAAATTAATTGGGTGTGTAAAATGTGTTTCAACAACAGACCCTGGAAGTATAGGTTTTTAAAGTCAATTTATACTCCTCTGTCTCCTGTTGAAGTAGAATTGCTCAATGTGTAATCTTAAAACTACAGACAGACAAACTGGCAACTTGATCCATGTCATTGCACATACCAGAAAAATAGAATGGAGATTTAATTGGAACCCAGCTGCTCTACTTTTAATAGCCAGTAATAATTAAGCATTCAGAACTATAATGAATGCTCACATCACAAAATGATTTGTTAATCAGAGTGGCTGCATAAAACACAGAAATCTTGGAGATTGTGAAACAGTCACCTTAAATTGAAGATGGCTGAAATGCGAGGTAATAACAAAACAATAGCTTTCAAAGCTCACAAACAGTCAGATTAGATTACTGACAGGCTTCTCTTCCCTTTGCTGAGTACGCATTATGTACATTTAAGAGGAGGGTTCCCTTTCATGTTCTTCCTGTTTCTTGCTCCCTCAGGGGAAGGAGACGCAACTGTTCTCAAACTGGAAGATAGGCCTATCATATCTTGTCCTTATTGGTAGTAAGGGAGGTCTTATCATAGCACCCGGTTAGCATTTATCAATTTAACAACAATGAAAAAGACGATCTGATCCATTGTTGCACTGCTGCATGCGAGTGCTCGCTATGCAAGCTAATCACTTGCCTTGCTTCAAACTACAATAATGATTCAAGTGCTTAATTGGCTGTAAAGCCCTTTAGAACCTCAAGACTATAACAGGCACTATAGAAATCCAGGTCTTTTAAGATTTGTGACCTTTAATTGACACTTTCTCCTTGCTCTGATCGGCAATGTCATTTGAAGCTTTGTTCATATGCATCAGGAATACCAACCTGTGAAGATGTGAGACGGGGTAGAACTAACCCAGTCAGGGAAAAATCCCAGCATTATCCCTCCTCCACCCAGTTAATTGATCTCAAATAGAGCAGCACTGAAATACAGTGATGGGGAACAGAGTGAATCAGCAGTAAGGCAAAAGATGACCATCAAAATGGTCACCTCTCCATTAATAATCAGATCAAGTCACCTACTTTACTGGCAACAGATATCGCTAGGCCAGAATGAGTCCGTGCGTGGGCAGCCAACATTATCATCCACCCAAATGCAACACAGGCCCACATCTGTGCCCACCAGCATCTAGCCACCTAACAGACAACTGTGCAGCTGAGGTTTGGGATTGTGGGCTGCCAGCTGAAGAGTTTGATCATTCATCAGTAGGTTCATGCACAGCAAGAGCAGCATTTCACCTTTAATTTAGACACTATGGGAAAAGCACTTTGTAATTCTCCACTCAAAGTGCATCCTATTCCTGCAAAGCAAAGCCAGCACATTGCATCAGTTTATTTATCACCAGAAGTGCAAGTGGCTACTCAAAAGGAAAGGAACATTCTATTAGCCACAAGTCCTCAAAATGTGTAATGCTTCACTTCTGCCCAGTTTGTGCAATCACCGCAATTACACTGGCAGTGCCACCTTTGTGACAGGCAGCTAGTCCGTTGCTAAGCAGTGATGTTACATTGCAATGCGGTACTTGCGCATGCTTGCTTCTTGTTACATCTTGTGGTAGTATTTCACAATAACTGGTAGAGGGGAAAGAAAGTAATCACCTCAATTCAAGCAGTGGGAAAAAGCATCATAGATATCAGAGAAGTGCAAGGTGTGCATACAACTACAACAGGGGGAGCTGGAACCTAAAATATCCATAATTAATTCCAGACTTGCTAAATATTTCCAGTATTTCAATGTTTATTTTGGTAAGGGGACTGGCTGGGGAAATAGGAATAAAGGAGGATTGAGGGACATCATAAGGTCAGTTATGCAATTAAAACAGGTTTGTATTGGACAACAGAGCTTAAGGTGTACAAGTCAATGTTCAAACTGGGTGTACAGGGCGTATCACAGAAGGGCAAAATATGATTCTTGCCATTAACACTGGCTACACACTGTTCCACCAACACTCAAAGATAAATGTCTGTGACAATAAAAAAGTTAAATGGAAGCAACAGGCAATACAGGTGACAAGTGGAGATGGAAGAGACATTTGATTAACTATATTATTCCACTCAGCATTGCTTTTTGCATTTGTGTTTTTTCTGAAATATTAAGATATATGTTTGTCCTTTCCCTTTTGCTGATCACAATAACGTCTGCCCTTTTTATTTTTCAGTCTTGAACATGAAATGGCTGTTCACAATAATTCCTTTTTTTTTAAAACATGTCTGAGCTGTTTTCAATAGGAGTGGCTCAGCAATAAGTACAAATTCTGTACTGTTTCATTTGCTGATTAGGATGGACTCAACAGTAACAGCACTTGTGCATGGTTCGAGTGTTCAGGTTCTGTCAAGTCATGCATGTAACTGCTATCACAGGTCCAGGAAAACAGTACAAGTATAGACCAGTTAGGAACAACCCTAATGTCAAAGAAGTGTTCTAAAGGAAAATAGAGATAGTGAGGGGGAGTGTTTTAAGTTGGGAATTCCAGAGTTCAAGACATGAGAGGTTTAAAGGCATGGCTACCAGAGGCAGAATGAAAGGAATATCAGAGCAAGAACCATAGAACACTGCTGGTCTGTGCTGGGGTGCCCTGTAGCATAATGAGGCAATTTTTTTTTTGAGCCTAAATGGATTGCATCATTTTGCTATGCGCTTCTGCTATACATTGTCTCTAGATCCTCCAACCTTCAAGCCCCCACTATGAGGCATTTCCCACAATGTCAGCTGACCAGAACTTGCAATGACAGCTCATTTCTGCATAATTTTCTATCAGGGTTAAAAATAAGGGGCCTTCGTCCCATCAATTTGGGCTAGTTTCAAGGTACTAGAGATAAAAAGCCAATGCAAACATGTATTGCGGCCTCTGGTCTTCCCTTTCACCTAACAGTTCATATTTTCAGTTTAAAAAAAGCTCAAATTAATTTCTGACTGGTAGAAAGACTCTTAAGTAATGAAATCATGCATAGATTTTAATGTTGCACCACACACAAATGACTAAAAGATTAGTATTTGACATTACACAGCAGTAATTCAATAAGGTCACCCACATGTTACGTTAAAAATCTGTTCGGTTGCCATTGAATATATTTCAAGAGATTCATTCTTTTCCTTACACTGCAAACATTCTTTATATTGTTGACAAGCTATTTCACAGCATTCCCACACTGCTGACTACCAAAACCAGTGGAAGTCACAAAGGTCGAGTACAATGATTTACAGATTTGACTGCAACTGCACAAAGGACAAGATGCAGAAAACTATTTCTGTAATAAATGCTTACAAAGAAACTGTTAGAACAAGTCCCCAAAAAACTCGTGACAGTCAGCTGTTCTGCTATGAGAAGCCACCCTGTGCTCTCAATTCTCAACCTAAAATGATCAGCTGTAGCATATCACTGCAAGTGCCACATCATTTCCTCAGAGGGGTCCTAGTCCAGTTTCCTGCTGCTTCAAAAGCAAGTTTCTTCCCCATTGTGAAACATCATACGTCCATATGTGCAGCACAAACCACAACTCATTGTCTTCTGGGTTTTTTTGTTTGAAGCGCAAGGAAGAGTTGTCATAGAAATTACTTTGGTAATAGGAATGCATCAAATCGTGTCACAAGTTATTGTGAAATGAAGAACAAAGTTTAAGGGGTAAGCCTTCACAAGTAAGGAAAATCCAATTGCACAATAGTTTGATGCCTTACAGCAACACATTTATGCAGCTACTTCTGTCACTACATGACGCCCCAAAATAGTCCATCACCAATTAATTCTTTTTGAGATAAGCTACTGTTCTAATGCAGCATAACACTAAAATCATTGGTTAAGCCTCAATTGGACTATTGCGAATAGCTCTGCATATTACACTTTGGGTCTTAGAAGACCAAAGTCTTACTGAGGGTATAGAGAAGATTTACTGAAATGATATCAGGACAAGGCACAAGCAATAAATGCTGACCTAACTAGTGCCTTCATATCCCCTGAATTGATATTTTAAAAAACCTGAGAAAAGCCCAGTTTACTCTCCCTGCACCCAAGGAGATTAAGGAGAGATCTGATAGGTGTTCAAATCATTAAGGGTTTTGAAAAATTAAACTACAGGTGGCCCCCGATTTTCATGCTTATGAATGTGATCCCATACAACGATGTAATTTTAAAAACTTTACGAACATTTCCTATACTTCCAAACAGCTGCTTCACGTGCTTTTGGGGAGGCAATGGCCTCGTGGTATTAATCGATAGACTATTAATCCTGAAACTCAGCTAATGTTCTGGGGACCTGGGATCAAATCTCACCATGGCAGATGGTAGAATTTGAATTCAACAAAGAGTCTGGAATTAAGGATCTAATGATGACCACAAGACCATTGTCGAATATCAGAAAAATCCATCTGGTTCACTGATGTCCTGAAGGAAGGAAATCTGCCATCTTTACCTAGTCTGGCCTACATGTGACTCCAGACCCAGAGTGATGTTGTTGACATCCATATCCCATGGGTGAATAAAAAAAAAAGTTGTCCTGCATTATGTTCCGACTTGCAAATGGGCTTAAAGGCAGCCAGTTCACAACCTGGGAACTGCTTGTAAGGTGGAATGGCTTCCTGTGGCAAAATATCATTACGCTAGAGAATACAGAGTTAAAGTACTTAGGAAATCAGAGGCAAGATGAGGAAAGTTTTTTTTTGGAAAGGTAACTGCAGCAAGTGAAAGCAGAACATCAGCAGAAAGATTCAAGGCGAACATTCAAAAATTATCATTTGGAGGAAAACAAATGCAGGGGAATAGGGAAAAGGCAGGAGTATGGGAGTAATTAGCTACCTCCTTTAAAGAGCTGGCAGACACAATGGACTGAAAAGCTACCTTCTGCGCCATATCACCTTAAAATTCTCTGAAATTAGACCCACTATGATTACTAACTGATGGAAGTTAAGACAAACTGAAAATGATTTGTCTCACATTA